TTAATTAATGATAATACTAGGACCAAAGTTACCTGTATTTCTGCAAGTATACAACCATGCATTGCCATGACCATAAACGCACAATGCCTAAGCGCACCACTGACTTTGACATAATTTGACCATGGATATCTCAGCATTTTGTAACGTCCGTGTGGTGGTTCCCAAACAGCAAACCCCAGCTGCAAAAAGTGAGATAAGTCACATTCATACTTAATTTGTATACAAAAAAAAAAAAAAAAAAAAAAAAAAACCATGTATATATACCAGAGCATCTTCTTGACTTGTAGACTGTACTGCCGATCTATATCCACTATATAAAGGGTCATCCAAGGCCTGATAGACCAAGATTTTTGAAGGTATTCTTTCGTATCCAAAATGTTGAAGGTAATTGTTAACACATCCTATACAAGTGAATCTATTGGTTAAATCGTTATTAATCATGGTTGAATTAAGACTAAAATAGAAAAGATTTACCTTCTAAGGAAGTAGCAACGCCCCTAAAGTTCTTGACTACCAATTTATGCAGATCTTCACCAGCCCAAATCGGATAAACACATATATTAACAATCAAACACACACCTGCCCCTACTCCAATTAACAACAATCGTGAAACAGCTGTTTGGACAAAATGTGAAGTCCCTGACACGAGTACTATACAGAATGTTAACATGAAGACTCGGAACCCGTATTCGTATGGCTTCATTGATGGGTACATTTTCACATAGCTTGATATAGAACCTGAAACGGAATAAAGTTTGCGACTTTAGTGAAGGAAATTGCGAAAGAGGTGTTTAGAGTTTAAACCGACCTGCAACAAAAATGCTGACCACAATCACGACCTCTTGCCACTCCCCAGCCCACATGGAAACTTGAGCGATAGCTAATGCAAGAACGCCGGCAGAAAATGTCCCCAAAGCACGGTTAAATCCTTTGCTAAGTGTTGCTCCTATGAAATATTCCGATTCCATCGAGTTCAATCAGATCAAACTAAACAAGGGTGTGGCGATTGAGATCTTGGAATGAGGAATTAATTAAGGTTAGTTACCTATGCTGAATTCGAAGACGACGATGACAGTAAGGATTGCCCAGATGGAATACTGAGTGATATAAGTAAAGGGTTCTTTGAAGAATATAAGAACAGAGACGATAGCAAGTGCCAATCCCGATTTAGCAGCAAAGATGAACTGTCTGGGATCGGAGCGGCCCATCTCGTAAGCGTTAACAAGGAACAGTCGAACATTGGTCCACCATTCCTGGAGTTTACCGAGAAGCGAAGTATCTTCGTTGTTGGTGGAGATATAGGATTCATTGAAAATACCTAATTCCGAGTACCCCTTTCGAGATAGCAACCTTTCTTTGCTTTTGTCTGTAAAATTACGCGACATGGATCCAAGATTGGCTGCCATTTTTTGTGCCTGGATCTTTATGAAAGAGAAGTGAGTCGCATGGACGTGGGTATATGTAGAGAGATGCAAGATTGAGCAGAGAGGGAGCGGGGGAAGAGGAAGTGGATGGTGATCGGAGGGGAGAGGTGGGAGAGCATTATGAAAGGGAAGGAAGTGGGAAGACAAGGGGAAGAGGATCTCTGACTTTCAGATCTCTGATCGGCTGATCCAAACCGCCCAACGACTCCTATCTGGATTAAAATTAATAATACTTCATATTATATGTTGAGTGACTTATCTAATTAACCCAGTTTCGTGTTTTAATCAAATTTGTTATTTTTTCCAAATAATGTAAATTTCTATTTATATTCTTATCTAATAATACACAATACACTAGTTAATTTTTCTAATGTTTTTTTAAAGAATAGCTAAAAATCAGAAAAATCTCCTCAATAGCTATAATTTTCACAGCCTACAAAAACTTGGTGCCCTGCAAATGTTATTATTATTATTATTATTATTATTATTATTATTATTATTATTATTTTACCAAAACTATGTAGTTTTGATTAGTGTTGACTCGAAAAAATAATATGACCTCTGAAAATCTCAATCATCAACAAAAATCTGAAAACAACTGTATTTTCTAAAAAAGCATTGTTCAAGTCAAGTGGAGTGCGAAAAACAGAGATCATATTGTGAAAATCAAAATTCATGTTGAGAAAATCAAAACTTATATTGTGAAAGTCAAAATTCATAGTGCAAAAATCCATACAGCATAATGCTATTTATAATATCTTATTTTGATAAAAAAATATTATCCACATTATATCCGTTTTCTATTTTTTAGCAAACTTTTTATTGGCAAAATCTTCCAACTTACATATCTTGTTAACAAAACATGAGTTTAAATATTCGGATGAGTATTTTATTTTTATTTGTATCAATGGTTCATGACATTCAGAAAATGAAGAATTAATATAAGTTAGACCGTTTGTTAAAAACTTAGATGTAAAATTTAATCAGATATAAAATTTTCAAATTTATTGGTCAAACATAAAACATGTTTTGTAGACATAATAATACTTGTTGTCCTTCCAACATTGAAGGATGCTATTCAGATAGCTAATGAGGGTGATGTCAAACGTTTAAAAATGATTATTCAACAAGTTTCAACTAGTGTACGTTTGTCTTTGGTGGATAATGATCCAGTGGAGGAGACACAAATTGTTTAATACAATGTCATTATTCGATTTGTTGTTGGTGGGAACTGATTTAGCAATGAAAGAGGTTATGGTAGCAAAATAGGGAAAAATTGTGTTGACAATAGATCCAACATAAGAGGTAGCAACGATAAAAATAGAATATATATATATATATATATATATATATATATATATATATATATATATATATATATATATATATATATATATATATCCAAATGATCCTCACAATGTTAGTGGATGTGTTGCATATAGAACATTGGTACAAGAACAATTCAATATACAAGTCGTTTATGAAAACCAGTTTATGATGAGACAAATTCAGTACGTTAATCATGAATATTATGTGTCATATCAAATTTCGTTAGTACCATATCAAATGTTGATGGGATAATGACTTAAAAAGGTAACGAAGTTTTAAAAGTGTATAAAAAAGACCATTGTTGTTTTTTTTGTACACAAAATACCATTTTACCGGCTATTGTAGGTTATCCGGTTTTCAAATGTTCAAAAAATACCATTATTGTTTTTTTAGTACAAAAAATACCATTAATGTTACTATTTGTACACAGAATACCAACAAAATACACATGTGTTCAACTAAAACATTGTGGTAACCAGGTACTTCAGGTAAATGGGATGAGATGAGCGTAATCAGCAAGTGCTTGTTTAATTTTTGTTGAAATTCTTGGAAAAGATCTTACTTCCACCGTATGATCAGCCAAACAAGATTACAGGTGATGCTTCGGCTGATAAATTTTTCTTCAAATCGGTGATGAGAAGAGCGTAATCAGCAAGTGTTTGTTCGACTGTTAGATAGGCTAAAGTAGAAGCATTCTTGTATGCCTCTTTCTGGCTTCCATATGGCATCGATTCACCATAATATCGATGCTAGATCAAATCACGCAGTTTTTGATAAAATTGTATTATTAAAGGTCTGCAAGTGAACAAATTAATGTAGAGTAGAGTGATTAAGGCTTTTACTTCGGGGAAGATGACCATGGCACCAAAACGAGGGGCGAGTTCCCAAACGAAGTCGGTGTTGGCAGCGAACCATTCGATGTCGCCTTCATTGCCGCAATAAAGAAAGATTGGGTCCAAACGACTAGGGCCTGGGCCCACCCAGTGATCGGAGTTGATGAGATAATGTTGTTGGAACTTGGGAAGATCATTGAAACTGAAATGATTAAGAGTCTGATCAAAGTATGGTGTCTCGTAAGTGTACTTCAGCTGAACAAGAATTTTTGGGTTTTGAGAAGCTGTGGGGATTTGCCGAGAAACGGAGGTGGCCGGTGAGATTCCGACGTTGATGAAAGTATGCAGATGATTAGGAGGAAGAATAAGAAAAAGGGTTTTGCCATGGTGGTGGAGGGGGGCGATGAACAACAGTAGTGGCCGAAGTGAAGTGGAGGGTTCTTTATAAAAAGTAGCTAAATTTCCATTACATTCAAAGAAGGAAAAATGACTTAAAAAGGTAACGAAGTTTCAAAAATGTACAAAAAAGACCATTATTTTTTTTTTGTACACAAAATACCATTTTACCGGCTATTGTAGGTTACCCACAAGGTATTATTTGAACACATGTGTACTTCATTGGTATTTTGTGTATAAAAAATATACTTTAATGGTATTTTGAGTACTAAAAATAAAATAATGGTATTTTTTGTATATTTTTGAAACTTCATTACCTTTTTAAGTCATCATCCCAATGTTGATAGTACCATATCAAACCTTAGTAGTTCCACACCAAGCATTGGTAGTTTCACATCAAATGTCGGTAGAACCACAAATCCATTATGTTGATCCAGTAAATTATCAAAACTTGGGTGATGTTTATAATGTTACATGTAATCATGATGATAATGATTATACATGTTAGAATGAATGTGGTAATGAAGATTATATATAAATTGATGAGTTAACATATTAAATTGCTTTAAGAATATTAGACATAGAACATGTGATGTTGAAATTGAATGGCCGATTATACTAAAAAATTACACACAAAGACAATTTTTTGGTATGCAGATATACTGGCATATCCTAACCCGGTATATTCAGTCCGTCCATCGCACAACCAAAACCTGTCAGATTTAAAAAAGTTGTTACAAAGTTACAAAGAAAAAGAAGCTCTTCTAATGGAACTAGGAATGAAAAATATGGAGGATGAATTTCAGTTCACAAATGTTAGATCTATAAAAAAAAGGTTTCAGGGAGCATGTGTTGACAAAAATTGCCAATGGTATGTTTTAGTTGTAAAACTAGACGACTGAGCATGTTACAGATTGTAAACTTGTGGACCATTGCACATGTTCATCACTGAACCCAAACCATTGCCAAACAAATGGGAAAATATTAGGACATTTAGTTGTAAATGGTTGGGGTATTGATCATGGCAGAGTTTGTCGTAGGAGCGACATCTAACAAGATTTTACTTTAAGGTACAACATCCATGTTTCCAACAAACAAGCATGTCATGCCAAAAAGTATATGTTTAATCTCTTGAAGGGCTCTCAAGCGGACTCATTTCCTAAACATCTCATTATTGTTACAACCTGGAGAAGTATAATCCTTGTTCAGTCGCATACATTCAAACGGATGACGAAGACCACTTTGAGTTCTTGTTTCTCTCCATTGGTTGCATGGTAATAATTATCATTTGCATGTTAACTTAGTTTGATTAATTTAAATGTTTATATAGTTGTTATTCATTTGTTAAGTTGTTATGATTATGGGCCTCGACCGCTACACATGCAACATATAATCATAATCAAGGCCCTACCTACCTTGGGTCCTACCTCTACTCTGCTACTATTGAGATATGGAACCCCGTCCACACTCGGTTGGTGATGAGATACAGGCCCCGACCCACACTCACCTCCCTACCAAGCACATACAAGTATCACAAATACAGCAAGTAAAACTAAACATGCATTCCTTCCTAGGGCACCACCCGAAATCGAACCGTAATTCGAAAACATACATATAAACCTTCCTTGGGCCTCCCCCGACATCGGATCGTAATCCGGAAGGATATAATCTACATCGAGCTAACCCCGACATCAGATCTACATCTATTATACACTAACATACATAAACGAGCCGAAATTGGTGCCTTCGACCCATTCCTACTAGAGAAAACTCATCTCACACGCTGACTATAGAATCTCGCGAATAAACCTCTCGCTGCTAGCTGGCAGATCCCTGAACTGCTGATCACTCGACTCCCCGAGATATCGTTACCAACATAATACTTAGTCAAGAACTGATAATCCTTCTTAGGATAAAATGACCATTTTACCCCTGGTCAAAGTTAAAGCCAACGCTTGGTCAAAGTCAAAGTCAACACCCCAAGTTGACTCAACTCGCCAAGTCATCCTCCTAACTCGCCGAGTTCCTTCGCTACTCATAGACGTGGCAGAACGAGTCAAGTCGTTGAGTCCCTCTTCAGACTCGTCGAGTTCTGCCCTGTACCAAATCAGGACAAATCAACCCAACTCGTTGAGTCCCTCTTTGGACTCGTCGAGTCCGTCTGTCTGTTTGGACCATCTTAACAAATTAAGCTCTCTACCCTTCAGATCTACACTCCAAACTCCTTATACAATCTGGAAACACTACTAGAGGGGTAAAGTTTCCAACTTTACCCATTAATACTTTTCCTACAAGGGTTAAGCTCAAACCCAAACTCCTTAACGCATAGATTCTTGTCTAAAAACCATTGTATTCCAAACTAAGGCGTATTAACATAGATCCAGGCCTTAGACATTGTTTGCTCACATAAAGTTTATGCCTTATCTTCCATGCATGGCCTTTTGGGGCTTAAAAGGCCATAATAACTCCTTAAAGTGAAACGACCCAAAAACACGACCCAAAAATTTTCGTTTTTCCATGTAATCAAAACCATAATATAAGTATCATAGCATAAAACATACGCGATGTATCCCCAAAACATAATAAAATATTGTGCGGAAAACTGTATCATACTACATCAATCCAAAACATCAAGAGACATCCCCAAGATAAAAGCTATGCTGTGGTGTGTGCGATGCTGTCACCCCGAGCTCTTCCCTTTGCTTGCGGAAGTACCTGAAACCAAACTGAAACTGTAAGCACGAAGCTTAGTGAGCTCCCCCAAACTACCACATACCATACAATA